TAATATTCCTAGGTTGGATTCGTCACTGCCATGAGTTTTTATACGCCCTTCCTAAAGGTTGGATATCCTTACAAGGATTTGGGTGTGTGTGTGTGGGTCAAGATATTCTCGATGGGTTCATTCATACGAATCATGCATCATATCTAAGATACGAATACAGGTTGTGAATTTATGAGTTATTGTGTGGAATTGGTTTCCTAAAAGAGCTTGTGGAGGTATGAGACTCTACAAGAACTTGTGGAAAATGATTTATGGTTGGAAATAATTTATTGTTGGGAAATTCATTTTACTATTCATTTAACTTATTGCGATTGCATACACTTGAGATCAAATAGATAGTCACTGTTTTATTTCAAGTTATATATGTTATTTTGAAAAATGAGACCGAATTATTTTATATGTTTTCTAAACCTTGTTCGAGATTGGGAGAATGTTGCTACAGAGCTTAGTGCTCACCCCCTACAAACTATATATTTTTCAGATTGTGATCTAGACGGAGAGCTCAGAGTTGAGGAGCCGATACATTGGGAAGCTCCACTAGATGGACTCGTGGATCCCGAGGTGGATGTCTAGAGTTGATCCCTCCATGTTTTTGATTAGGGGATATATTTTGATACATTAATAGATGTATTTTTGTTTATTTCGTTGCGAAAAAATAGTTGATTCTTTTGGGATGTAATGGTCATGGTTGACCTATTCTTTTGGGATGATAGTGTAAATGTTATATTTGATGAATGAAATTGCTTTATTGATGGATTAATTTAGTTGCTTTCATGATGTGAATGGTTGTTAGATTGTAATGCCGTTCAAGGTGAGTTTTGGGACGTTACAAAGCATAAATGAAATGCACAAATATAACTTCCAAACAATAATTTACATGTCCATCACCTCTTGCTAAAGAGTGAATGAGAAAATATTCACTCTTCATGGATTTGGAGAAGCTAGAAAGTGAGTGAATCTCATCCCTCCAAATAGAGGAGCTTTAGAATTACAAACGTAAAATTATAAGAAGCACAATGCTTATCTCCAACAAAGAATGAGTGAAAACATTACTCACCCTTCAAAGCCACAAGAGAGCTAGAAAGATGAGATAGGTTCACTCTTCTAGGTGAAGAAGAAAGCTACACAAATGGAAGTTAATGAAACTAATACTAAAAGTAGAAGAAAACTAGTTAATTTGGAGAGTTTTGTACACTTTTCAAAGTTCTATATTTTGCTTCAAGATGTTAGGGTATTTATAGAGTGGAAAGCACACAAATCCAAAAAAATAAAATCTTGTCATTTTGGCAGAGGCATTTGAACCCTAGCTGGGGCGTTTGAATGCTACCAATGACATTTAATGTTGAGGAGACCCCTGTCTTATTTCGTTGACTTTTAGAGGCTGCGTTCGAATGCTAGGGGTAGGTGTTCGAACACTGCGCACAAACTTTGCTTCTTGTCTAATTTTGTTAGGATTTGTTCTTGAATTTTGATGGGCATTCAAACCCTTCATCTGCCATTCGAGTGCTACCTCCTTGTAGAAGACTTCCTTTAGCCATGAAGACTATTTTACCCTGCATTTCATTTCAGTGCTCTATTCAACCCTTTTATTCAATTCCTTAGTATTTATTTACAAATACAATGCAAACTTTACATAATTAATCCTTACAAAGCATATTAAAATGTAAAGATTAAGGGTTAATCACACCCCCCAACCTGGACATTACTAGTCCCCAATAATCAGATAAAACTTAAATCAATATATAAACAAATACCATTCTCGCAGGTGATGTAATTGCATTTAACATATGCAATAAGCCGTTAAACCCCTAAGTCACCCATAGTGGACGAGTGTTGTTTCGTGAAAGTTTTCATTAAAAAAACCTACAAACTTAAAAAATATCATAATTGAGATAGTTTGTCGTGTTTAAAATAATGAGATTATAATAATATCTATCCGCAAACTTGAATAAATCTCGATATGCTCATTCATAAATTTCCATGATAAACAAGAATATTCAATTATCACATTATTATTTAAAACTCTGTAAATGTGATGACCATGCCACTTTGAAAATGTAATTAACACTTTCCTTTGAGCTCTTCATAATTAGCTTAAATGCCAAACCTCTCGTAGGTGTACACTCCAAAAGAATCACTCCAGTTATATTGAATTTACACTCAAGTGTCCATATATGTTATGGATCATGTATTTCAAAGCTAGCATTTTACTCACATGTGGAAAAAAAAAATCAAAGAGTGGATATTTGAAACAAAATAATTTTGGCATAATCTCATGAATAGATATTAGTCCAAAGTAACATTTGATTGTCATGTCCAATATCATAATATAGTTCCATACATGTGCACATTACTTGAGATCAAATAGGACTTGTTATTCGGTTGTAACGTGGCTTTAGGTGAAGGGTAAAGAAATAAAGAGTGAAAAGGAATTCAAAAGAGGTTAAACAACCGTTCCTCTTCCCTTTTCAGACACAACTTGATAGCACCATCCCCTTCATGACTTTCTCTTTTTGTTTCTTTAGCCTTTGGCTTTCAATTTTCAATTATGCACATTTTCTTTTGCCCTTTTCTTTGCTTTTCTTCTTGCACAAATTTTTATTTTATTTTCTTTTCAATTTCTCATTTTAATAGCCTTCGTCCCTTTGATATTTATACCATAACAAATTCAGGTTAACTAAGGTGAGGGAATATATAAAGTTATAATTGGCTTGGTTATGATTTCATCTAAGAATTTACTTTTTAGGCTCAAAAGTGATTTCTAGGGATAAAATGTTGAAGAAGAATGGTTTAAGACTCGAAGAAAACTTAAAAGATGGCCTATAATAATTTCATAGAGAATGTACAAGTGTATTCCCTTATTGGTTGTTCAAATGAGATAACAATCAACTACTTTACTTGTCCTAATCAAAACAATAAAAATGAGATTATTCAATGATCTTTAGCAGAAATAGCTTACTTGAGTAAAGGTATGCTAACACTCCAAAGAAGAATGGTGTAAAAGTTTAACACGGTAACTTTATTCATCTCCGCTATGCGTTTCAGAGATCCCCTCATTGGTTTTGATCTTTGAGCGATGTGCTTCCTCACCATTTTGAAGAATCTATGAGAAAATCATAGATTTTGATAGGTAAAATTATTGTAGAAACCTTGGGTAGCGAGTTTTATGGCAAAAGATTGAGTTTTAATCCTTGGTTTATGAATTTCTAAGGTGGGAGAGTGATTTAGGGGATCTGGGGGTTTGAGTTTGAGGGATAGGATGCTAAAAATTGCAAAAAACAACAGGCTACTATTTTTGTACCAATGAAGGGGTGTTCAAATGCTGGGGCTAGGCATTCGAATGCCTCTGCTAACCTTCAAATTTTGACCTTCTACCTGCAATGTCCAAAGTGGGGTCCAAAAGGGGTTCAAATGCCACTATTTTTCCACATTTTTTTCTTTTTTTCTTTTTCTCTTTTCTTTTTTGCATATTAAAATATATTTATTATTAATATATACATGTGTATATATGTGTGTGTATATACATATATATTCAAAATTATTTTTTTATTTCTATTCTTAATTTATTATTTATATTATTATTATATCCATATATGTTGTTTTAAAATAAAAAATACATAGAAAAAAATTTTAAAAATTCTTTTTATTATTATTTTTCCATATACTTACTAATGGGGAAAATTTTAATCACAATTAAGGGAAATACTAAATTAAATGACATTTAGAAATGTAATCGTTGACTCCTATTAGACAGGAAAGTTTGAGGAATAATGAGCTCAAATAATCAGCTTTCCCTAACTTGGTGGGATAAGGAAACCAGAAGGATGACAAAGCTTATCCCCAATTTTAAAAAATAGGAACCTTATCTACCAAAGACTTGTTCAAATGACGGGATTTCTTTAAATATTGTGAAGAAGATAAGGCAGTTAGGTGGTGTTTGGATCACCGTGGAAGGATTGGATTGGATTGGATTTGAATCCCGACCCAATGCAAAGTGATCTGAATTTGAGGATTATAAAGATGAGATTCAAATCCTATCCCAACTTTGGATAGGTTTAATTTGTTTTGTGGGCCCCATTAATTTGTGAAGATAAAACAAACTAAAATGACTATTTCACCCTTGTGTAAAATAATATGATCCAAACATATACCATGTTTGAAATGGAATTACAAAAAAAAAGTCCAATCCATTAGTATTGATATTTTTACTACAAAAAATATGAATGAATAAATTACGCATTTTTTCAAAATATTGTAATAAATATTTTGTTCATTTATTTAATTTAATTTGTATAATACACTTTTAATTACAAAAAACATATGCATCATGGAAAAAAAAAATTCCAACACAAAAATAATAGACATATCGATACAACTCAAGTCTAAGTCGTTATTTGTTTATTTATAGAAAATCCGAAGTTGTGTGTTTAAAAATAAAACTTTATTTTTTTCTTTCAATAATAAATAGCAAAATTAATCCGAACCATATTAAATATTTTCAATGACCAAAATGCAATTTATTATCCAAAATGGTAGGGCATTTTAATAATATTGCATGAATCACTAGCGCACATCATGTCAATTTAAAATATGTTGCTTTAATACAAATGTAAATTTTTTGTAGATTTATTGTACAAGGAAACAAATGGATGAGCAACAACTTTTTAAGATCTTAAAATTTTAAAATATAATGAGACGCAACACCACAGAACAATTATTATTTTTTAATGAAACCCAAACCATTTTATTCAAAATTGAGGTACACCGAATATTTTCACACACTTATTTTGAAATCATGAGCTTCCATTCTAAAAGAGAGTTATGTGCTAATTTTTTAATAATGAGGGGAAAAAGTGCAAATAAACCAAACAACTACCGTAATAAGTGGATTTTATGTTTGTTAAAATCCTCATCTTTCCAGATGGTTCGTCTTCTGCATCAGACAGGGACAAAGACAAATATATAGAGAGAGAGAGAGAACAAATGGGTATACATAGAAGCTACTTCCATGGCCAAATCGAGCACTTCAATGGACAGATATGGTTCATCAATAGTTCAAGCATCAACAGATCTAGCATCACCATCGTCCATCAGCAGATCGAGCACTTCCAAGGCCAGATCTGCTACTTCCATGGACAGATTTGGTCAACAGTGCTACTTCCATGGAGAAGGGGGACCAGTGTGAAAGTGAAAGGGAAGGGGAATGGAGGTAAAAATGCGTGGAGGGTATTTTACTATGGAGGGTATTTTAGATTTTAGCCATTTAATCCTACTTCTCAATTCAACAATCCCTCACAACAGAAGGAATTGTTTAATCACCTACATATGGGATTCTTGGCTTCAAAACCAACGGCTGAGTTTTTCAATCCCACAAGGAGCCCTTTTCAATTTTTCCAACCAAACCAAAGATAAATGGGTGGTCATTTCACTATTTTAATCCAATCCCACCTTTAATCCCCTTCAATCCTGTCAAACAAACACCACCTTAAGGGATAAGGATAAGATCCCACTCTCGGCAAACCTTATCTGCGTGATCAAACAAATTGCTAGCAGAGTTAGGACTCTAGATGGCTATCCCAGCAAAGGATTAAGTCCACAGAAACCAAGACTCCTCAACCGAAAGGAGATCAGACAAATTCAAACTACCAAGAGAGCCTAGAGTCCACTCTCCATAGAACACCTATCACAATACTATAAAAGGGGACCTCCGGGGTAAGACCCAGTTAAGCACACTGAGCATAGTCCGATTTCTATGACGCCCCAAAATTCGGGGGTCTGTTGATTGCCCATCAACCCGCGGAATACTCGTGGATACCGAGTAACTCGATATTACACCGTTATGCCCCATTTACTGAGGTCCTTAATTTAACAAAATTTGGGTAGAGTCTCATTTGTACGGGGAGCTCTACCCAAAACACAACCAGTGCAATATACATTAACATGACCCGTCCAAGACCCCATATAACACAATGACCACATAGGGTCCATTTATCAGTAAAACTTGACCACACCGGGTCCAATCATCCATATTTATATCAAAACATGCAAGGTTAGTTTAAAAATAGTCCATATAAGTTCTTTACAATTTAAAAGATTACATGCTTAAAAATTCTTTCTACAAATATTTTACATCAATACAAAATAAAGCCACATTCGGCTTTCTTCAAACATGAGGGTCCAAATTGGAGCCATCCACCGGTGTACCTCTCCCACTAAAATGTTTCCCATATAGGGTGAGCCAACGCTCAATAGAAAAACTCCTACAGAGCCTACTCCCCACCTAAAATGCGTATGCAATGCGCACATGTCATAAACAACTTCTTCCAAATAAGAATATGTTATTCAAGATAGAATCTCATGATGTCATGCCAAGTAATGAGATGAAACTCACTCATGCATGCTATTCTGAGCCCACAGCGACTCCCACAACACAATGCGACTCATGTGTAAAACAAACGTCTTTGATAAAACACATCAAAAGATCATTTTGAAATCAATTATATGTCATAAAACCAATTCATTCTTGGATGTTTTTCATCAAATGAATAATTTATATATCAAAATCATGTGCCAATCCACCACATGAGTCGGATCTGGTGTGTACTTCCGAAACATAGAGACATGGAATACTGTATGAACACCCGATAGATTTGGCGGTAATGCCAATCGGTAAGCAACTATACCCAATCTTTCAAGTACCTCGAAGGGCCCGATGTATCTCGGCGACAGCTTCCCCCGCTTACCAAACCGGATCACTCTTCTCTTAGGCATAACTTTCAAGAAGACATGATCTCCCACCTCAAACTCTAGAGGTCACCGTCGTCTATCAGCATAGCTCTTTTGCCGGCTTTGAGCCGTGAGAAGACACTTTCGAATCAAGTCCACCTTCTCCGAGGTGTTTCTAACCAATTTCGGACCCGTAGAAGACCTCTCTCCTACCTCCGTCCAACAACCGGAGAACGACATGGCCTCCCATATAGCGCCTCATAGGGTGCCATCTGTATGCTCGCCTGGTAACTGTTATTGTATGTGAACTCCACCAAGGGTAAGTATCTTCCCAGCTACCCTTGAGATCTAGGACGCATGCCCGTAGCATGTCCTCTAAAGTCTGGATAGTCCTCTCAGACTAACCGTCCGTCTGGGGATGGAAAGTAGTGCTCATCATTAATTGTGTCCCCATGACTCATTGGAAACTCTCCCAAAAAATGAGCTGTAAACCTGAGATCCCGGTCCGATACAATAGATACGGGTACTCCATGTAGCCGGACAATCTCCCGTATATATAACCTGCAGAATTCCTCCAGTGTGAAGGTCATCGGCACAGCCAAAAAGTGTGCCGAATTAGTAAGGCGGTCCACTATCACCCACATCGCATCATGACCCCGCGATGTCCGTGGCAAATGGGTCACAAAATCCATTGTCATATGCTCCTACTTCCACTTAGCTACCTCCAAAGACTGGAGTAATCCCGCTGGTATCTGGTGTTCAGCCTTAACCTGTTGACACGTGAGACATCGACTGACAAAATCGCCAACCTGCCTCTTCATTCCACTTTAGTAATACTAGCGACGAAGATTATGATATATCTTCGTGCCCCCTAGATGAACCGTAAAATGGGAGCAATGAAACTCCCTAAGGATCTTCTCCCTCAGATCTGCCAATTGAGAAACCACAACCCTTCCTCAATACCGAAGAGTACCATCCGAGTGAATAGCCCAGCCCTCGTCACCTATACCTGCTTGTACATGGTCCTGGATGGACAATAGCTTCGTGTCTTGACTCTGGGACTCAATTACCCTTCTCAGTAGAGATGGCATAGCCACTAAACTCTCAAAAATATCGTGAGCCTGACCCATATAATATAGCCCGAACTGTCTCACAGTCTCGAGTATCTGCCACTCCCGGGAAGCTACATTAGCCAAAACTCCCCGTGACCTTCGGCTAAGTGCATCAGCCACCACGTTTGCCTTACCAGGATGGTAATGCAAAGTGAAGTCATAGTCCTCTAAATACTCCATCCACCGGCGTTGCCTCATGTTGAGGTTCCGCTGTGTGAAAATATGCTTCAGACTCTTGTGGTCCGAAAATACTTCAAACTACTCACCATACAGGTAGTGACACTAAGCCTTCAAGGCAAAGACAATGGCCGCCAACTCCATGTCATGTATGGGGTAATTCCGCTCGTGATTCTTTAGCTGCCGAGAACCATAAGCTACTACCCTCCCGGACTACATCAAAACACATCCTAGCCCCGTCCTTCGAGGCATCACAATAGACCGTGTACCTTTGTCCCTATTCTGGAACTATCAGAATAAGAGCTGAAGTAAGCCTTTTCTTCAACTCCTGGAATGCATTCTCACAAGAATCATTCCACACAAAACTTGACATCTTTCCGGGTCAACTTCGTCATAGGCGCAGCAAATCGGGAGAAATTCTTAATAAACCGCCGATAGTACCCCACCAATCCCAATAAACTACGTATCTTGAAGACTGACTTCGACCTCTCCCAATTCATAACTGCCTTAACCTTCTCTGGGTCCAGAGATACACCCGAAGCCGACACCACGTGTCCCAGAAATTTTACTTCAGTAAGCCAGAATTCACACTTGCTGAACTTGGCGTACAATTGATAATCTCTCAATGTCTGGAGAACAATTCTCAAGTGACCCTCATGCTCCTCCTCAGACTTGAAGTAGATTAAGATGTCATCAATAAAAACCACAACAAATTGATCTAAATAAGGTTGGAACACCTTGTGCATGAGGTCCATGAATGCCGCTGGAGCATTCGTCAATCCAAATGGTATCACTGTTAATTTGAAATGCCCATACCGCGTTCTAAACGCCGTCTTAGGGATATCTTCCTTCCTGACCCTCAACTGATGGTAACCGGTTCGAAGATCTATCTTGGAATAGACTCGTGCCCCTCTCAACTGATCAAATAAGTCATTGATCCTTGGCAAAGGGTACCTATTCTTGATAGTGACCCGGTTCAACTGCCGATAATCAATACACAATTGAAGAGTCTTGTCTTTCTTCTTGGCAAACAACACCGGAGCGTCCCAAGGTGAAGTGTTTGGTCTAATGAAGCCCTTGTCCAATAATTTTTGCAACTGGACCTTGAGTTCTTGCAACTCAGCTGGTGCCATCCTATGTAGAGTCATAGAGATAGGTGATGTACCCGGATACAACTCAATAGTGAAGTCTACATCCCTATGTGAAGGTAATTCTGGTAGTTCATCTGAAAAAATATCCTCATACTCGCACATAACCCGAGGTAGACCAAACTTCTGCCTCACCTCATCCTCTAGGGTAAGGCTAGCAAGCCAACCCATCAACTGTCCGTGCCATCTATAGTCATACACGACTTAGGATAAAGCATCCTGCTTCTCCCCCTGAAACTTGAAACAAACATCTTCCGGTGTATAAGCCGTGACCCTCTTTCAATCACAATTAATGACGACTCGGTGTGCTGTCAACTTATCCATCTCAAGGATTACATCAAACTCAGACATGTCCATGACCCTAAGGTCCATGGTGAGTAGAATCCCCGAGATCTCTAACTCACAACCCCGACATATCTGATCAATTCTTACCCCAGCACCTAGGGGAGAACTCACATGTAACGACTCTTCTAAGGTCTCAACCTCTAAGCCCAAGTCATCCACACAAGATGTAGTAATAAATGAATGAGATGCACCAGAATCGAACAATACTTTAGCCTACAAATGAGAGAGTAAGAATGTACCCTGTATCACCGACGGATCTGTCGGTTCAGTCTGTGGCATAATGGCATAGACACGCCCTTGAGTCCCTGAAGTCCCGGCTTGTGAGCCCTGGCCTCGTCCTCAACCCATGCCTTGGCCCATCTGGCCAGCTTGCGGTGTCCCTACACGAGAAGTAGTAGGGCCTTGTACTGCACCCTGGAACTGGTATTGGCTGCCCTGACCCATAGTAGGGTAGTGAGGAGCATACTGCGTCTGTGATTGTCCCATTGAAGTCTGAGGTTGCGATGACCCATGGCCCTGGGATCCCTACCTCTGAAGACAATCCCTCTTCTTGTGACCCGGTTGGTGGCAATAATAGCAAGTCCTCTGGCCAGCCTAGTAGGAAGGCCTCTAATTTCTCCCACCTTGGGAGGATTGACCTTGGCCTTGGCCTTGATAACTGCAGCCCTGTCCCTGAA